TTGTACGTATTTTAAATTTAATTATATATACTATATACTATTGTAGTATATATTTGTTTTCACGCATTTGCATTTTTGTTTTTGTTGAATGCCTGCTTCTACTAAACGTAAATATATGCAACATAAATTTAAAGTTCAAAATCTTTTAAACTTGCGCGTAAACTCATTTAAATACAGCTTCTAATTATCATAGATATCAAGAATATCATTTGGTGATTAAGTGCGGAAGTTAGATATTTACAAGTTTTAAACATTTATCTATCTTATAATTTAACTATGCGCCAATCAGATTGTTGATATATAAAAGCGTCGCACCCAAGTATTTATTTCTGTATCTAATCCTTTCGATACTTAATCCTTTTGACGCGATAATATTTAAATAATGGACAACGTACAAAATAAAACGGCGATAGTCACGGGTGCTGGGTCCGGCATTGGCTACTACATTACCGAAAATTTATTACATAAAGGCGCAAAGGTATTTTAGAATTAAAAATAAAAAAATAGAATTGATTCCCATGTAATTTATTAATTTTTAGAAAGTCGCCATCATTGATTTACCGTTAGAACGTTGTTATAATGCGACAGTGACTTTGCAAGAAAAATTTGGAAAAGATCGCGTCATTTTCTTTCCAGTTGATGTAACAAACGTGGAAGAGTATAGTAGTAATTGTCATATTTCTTAAATATTTCTTAAATATTTTTTACCAGTCTATTTTTTGTTAATAATTTATTATCAATAATTGTGATTTATTTTATATTTTTAAATACGAAATATCCATTAAATTAGAGAAGTAACTATTAACCGATTATTTTAATCCTTAGAAACCTTCAAGAAAATTATCAAAGAATTTAATGGACTCGATATACTTGTTAACAATGCTGGAATATGTCATGACCGTCACATCGAGCAAATGTTTTCTATTAACATTGTGAGTAACAAAGCACTAAATTTTTACTAGTTAATCAAATAATTTACTTATTTTAGTAAGAGTTCTGAAAAACTATTCTAAATAAATATATTAGTTCTGTAGATGAACTCATTTAAACTTCCTTTTATTTATTATATAAATTGTTCGTATGATTTTCATGAAACTCGGCACATAAGATAATTTGATAATACTTTATTTGATTCTGAGATCAAAATTAAAAAAACTAAAAATAAATCCAATATAACGGATAAAATTTTTTTAAATAATGTGATTATTATAAAACTCTATTTTAGGGAATTAATTGAAAGTAACTAAATTTCCAGTCTTTCTTTATTTGAAGCACATAAATGTTACATAAACAATACCTATCTATTGATTTCTCTCGAAATTCTCGATTACGATTCGCATAATACTAGATTTTCCTTCATATTATAGATTATTACCTTCTAAAATTTGAAATTTTTATAATGCATTCAAACTTAGCGATATCAAGAACAGCGATATATATAATATCAAATTATTTTTTTGATATCTAAATTTTAGTTCTGAGGCCAAAATCAAATTCGACGCCAAAAACTTTTAAAAATAACAAAAGTCTTCATAAAGTTTCTTTATTAGAAAATTCTCGTTTTTAACATATTTTATATCTTATAAAATTTATCAGTTTATTAAACATACATAATTTTATAAATATTTATAATTTGATTAATTATAAATATATATAAATCAATTATATACTTTATTAATATTATATACTTTAATTATTTCTACAGATAGCATTAATTCGCAGCTCAATGTTAGGCATGGATTACATGGGGAAACATAAAGGTGGCAAAGGAGGTACAATAGTAAATATAGCGTCTTTGGCTGGTCTTACTCCTTTCTTTTTATGTCCAGTATACAGTTCTTCTAAATATGCTGTCGTCGGATTTGGTCTCTGTCTTGAGGTAATTTATATTTCGTAAAGTATAGAAGAACTTTTACAATATTATCATAAATTTTTTTTACAAATGCTGTATTTTTTTTAATTGTTTGAAAGAAAGAATAGAAAATACAGATAATAAAAGAAGTTTTAAAAATATTCTAATTTTGTTAAAGGATTAAAGAATATCTAAAAAAAATATCTTCAATTGCCTTATATATTTGTTATATATTTGAATATCAAAAAGTTCTTTTGAACATATTTATTATTAAGAGATATATTATTATGTTTTTTTTAAATTTATATACGACAAATTTTGTTAAAAAGGCTATTTGTTTTTTGTTTTGATGTAATTGCATGCAAGTTCGATACCGGACGTGAAATAATTTTATTCAGAAAAAGATATTTCAAAATTCTTTTAAAAATATAATTTTGCATATATTATTTATATTATTTTCTTATAATTTTAATAAATTGTTCAAATCATTAAAATATTTTATATTAACAATAAAAAGTAATAAAAAATTTTACTAACGTAACATCTTTTTTAGAAATTTTATGACAAAACAGGAGTTCGTATTCTTACGATATGTCCTAGTTTCACAATAACTGCAATAATAATAGAGAAAGACTATAACCTCTTAAATATTATTGATCAAGATATTTTTAATAAATTTGAGGAGCAATTTGAGGAGCTAGCCAAAGATTTTCATAATCCTCAATCGTAAGTGTAAAACATAATAGAAATATATTTATATATAAATCTTAGAAACCATGTATGCCATAATTTATACATAATTAGG